TATGGAAGCTTGTTTTGAAAGACAAGTTGCAAGAAAAAAAGTCTGATTTGCGAGATATTAACTCTCAATTGCGAGAAAAAGTCAGAATTGTGGGATATAAATTCGCAATTACGATAAAAAGTCAAAGTTGTGGGATATAAACTCACAATTACGAGAAAACACCTGAATTCTGGGATAGAAACTCGCAATTACGATAAAAAGTTAGAATTGAGGGATTTAAACTCATAATTGCGAGAAAAAGTCAGAATTGTGGTATATAAACTTGCTATTATGAGAAAACATCTGAATTGTGGGATATAAACTCGCAATTAAAAGAAAAAGTCAGAATTGTGGGATATAAACTCGCAATTACGATAAAAAGTCAGAATTGAGGGATTTAAACTCGCAATTGCGAGAAAAAGTCAGAATGGTGGGATATAAACTCGCAATTACGATAAAAAGTCAAAGTTGTGGGATATAAACTCATAATTGCGAGAAAAAGTCAGAATTGTGGGACATAAACTCGCAATTACGTGAAAACACCTGAATTGTGGGATATAAACTCGCAATTACGATAAAAAGTCAAAATTGTGGGATAGAAACTCTCAATTGCGAGAAAAAGTTAGAATTGAGGGATTTAAACTCATAATTGCGAGAAAAAGTCAGAATTGTGGTATATAAACTTGCTATTATGAGAAAACATCTGAATTGTGGGATATAAACTTGCAATTGCAAGAAAAAGTCAGAATTGTGGTATATAAACTCACAATTACGATAAAAAGTCAGAATTGAGGGATTTAAACTCGCAATTGCGAGAAAAAGTCAGAATGGTGGGATATAAACTACAATTGCAAGAAAAAGTCAGAATTGTGGTATATAAACTTGCTATTATGAGAAAACATCTGAATTGTGGGATATAAACTTGCAATTGCAAGAAAAAGTCAGAATTGTGGTATATAAACTCACAATTACGATAAAAAGTCAGAATTGAGGGATTTAAACTCGCAATTGCGAGAAAAAGTCAGAATGGTGGGATATAAACTACAATTGCAAGAAAAAGTCAGAATTGTGGGATATAAACTCGCAATTACGATAAAAAGTCAAAGTTGTGGGATATAAACTCATAATTGCGAGAAAACGGCTGAATTGTGGGATATAAACACACAATTACGAGAAAATACCTGAATTCTGGAATAGAAACTCGCAATTACAATAAAAAGTCAGAATTGAGGGATTTAAACTCATAATTGCGAGAAAAAGTCAGAATTGTGGTATATAAACTTGCTATTATGAGTAGGCTTGGGCGGTATTACGGTAATATCGTATACCGCGGGATCTAAAAATAGCAACGGTATCAGTTTCAATATCGTCATACCGTCAGAAAAAAAAAACAATGCACTTATTGCATTTATATAGGAGACAAGGATTCCTTGTCTCCTATATAAATGCAATGTTTTAAATACAATTCATTTAATGGCTAAAATGCTTATATCTGGTTCTCATGATGTGACAGTGTGGTGACGAGAGAGTGGGGGAGAGAGGGCAAAGATTGCAAGTTGCGCACTGAGTGACTTGGTCTCGAAGAAGAACACGACTTATGCAATTTGGCAGGGATGGGCATTTCAAGCAAAAATAATATTTAAAGATTACCTGGTATTATTCGATTATTATTTGAAAATTGTGCCCCACCACCACATGTACGCACACATGCATGTAGTCTACAGCGGGCCAGACCGTGTGACGCTTAAATATAAGCTAGGTTTGAAAAAAAAAAAAACGTATTCCTTTCATATTTCTTTAATAATATGATGTTTTTCTATGTATGTTGATTTTATGAAAAGGGAACTTCATGAGATGAATAAGATAAGATCATAAAATGCGCAATATCGGAAAACATTTGGAATGGGTCAGTCAGACATGACCACTTATTATGTTTTGTTTTGTAGAAATCCTTTCTTTAAAACGAATTTCGTTTTGAATAAATTGCATCTTCATTTTATTTTTTTTTTTCATCAACGAATTGCCTGGGTTAATTAATAAAAAGCAAATATAGTGATCAGGACACGCGCCGGCGCGTGACTGGAGCGCGACTCATACATGAACTGAAACCTCGCATATAAGAAACAAGATCTGAGACGTGTATATATAGCCTATAGTAAGCTTGAAATGTCTACTTTTAAACAAAACAAACAATCTAAAAGAAATGGGCTGCTCTCTGCTTATGTTTAGGCTAATTCATATGAAGTGAGCATTACTTTTTATTCGCGTTCACTACCGCGAAGATGCTTTGCGTCATCAATGCAATCTTTATCTTTGCAGCACTGACAGAACACATGTTGGGTCAGTCAGACATGATTATGACCACTTATTACGTTTTGTTTTGTACAAAGCCTTTTTTTTAAAACGAATTTCGTTTTGAATAAATTGCATCTTCATTTATTTCGTTTTTCATCAAGGAATTGCCTGGATTAATAAATAAAAAGCAAAGATAGTAATCAGGACACGCGCCGACGCGTGACTGGAGCGCGATTCATACATGAACTGAAACTCGGCATATAAGATACATGTCTTAATGATCTGAGAAGTGTATATATGTAAGCTTGAAATGTCTATACTTTTAAACAAAACAATTACAAGCTAAAAGAAATGGGCTGCTCTCTGCTATAGGCTTATTCATATGAAGTGTGCATTAGGCTACTCTTTATTCGTGTTTTCATACCATGAAGATGCCAGTTTGCATCGTCAATGCAATCTTTATCTTTGCAGCAACTGACATAGAAAACACTAGTTTATTAATAAATAATTTTATCTCGGCTCCACTCGGATCGCGGCGCTGAGTGGACAGAGCTCGCAGCGCCGAGTGGACAGAGCTCGTGGCGCGTGATCTCCATAAATGCGCTCCCCTCTCTTGAGGAAATATCACCACTCTGCTCACATTCTCTGGTGTGAGACAATGTGCATCTCCTGTTTTCTAATAGTTGATTGACAGCTTTTAGATGCATTATTGGAACCGACACTCTCTGGTTGAACGTGTCATCATGTGTGATGCCATCTGAGCCTTATCTCGTAATTTTTAATTAGTCACGCGGTAATACCGTATACCGCGGTAAAATAGGGAGGAGGTTTGACGGTGTGAAAATTTGGATACCGCCCATGCCTAGTATGAACATTGTTAAACATAGGGGTGGAACGGTACATGTATTCGTATTGAACCGAAACTGTACGGGAGTCATGGTTCGGTGCACAAATTTACACGAATAAAACGGTATAAAAATAAATAAAACTCGCGTGCATATTAATTAATGTAATGCGGAACTACTGTTAGATACACGGGTTCTTTAGGGACACATAATCTGTACCATTGGCTAGCTCTGAACCCGCATTCACTTCAAACGTTGGCTTTATACGCTCATCCTATTCGCTTTGCGTCAAACTAGACGCGAATTTTGGTGCTCTATTCGCGTTTGGTGTGACTGCATAACGAACAGGCTGCGATGTCAAGATTGCAGTGTGTGTGTGTGTGTGTGTGTGTGTTTGTGTGTGTGCGCGCGTGCGTGCGTGCGAGAGAGAGCGAGAGAGAGAGAGATAGAACAATGGAAACATAAAAAGTGTTCTTATATTTGTGTACACTCGCAATAAAACACAACATTGTGCTTTTGTCACCATGTAAACTCTCTTGACAAAGTGTAACCTACAACTGTCACCCAACCAAAATCACACACACACGGTTTTAAAAGCAAAACATATTTATCCAACTCAATACTATCTGTGGATCCCATCTTTTGGACATTCGTCATATTCCTCGGCTAACTAAATCAATTATTTATAATTCAGATGAGAATAATGTTAAATTGTTAATTAATAATGTTAGCCTAATAAAAATTAAGGAAAATAAATATATTGATCTGAAATAAAGCAAAATAATTTTAAATTAATTCAGGTACAATTACCAAACATATCACAAGGTCTTTTTGTCTTTTTATTCATTTAATTAATAAACGAAGGAATTATATAAAACTATTGTCAGTGCACTACAAATAAACAGGTTCTATGCCTTTATTAATACAACTTATTTAAAAAATACAATGCCTTCTGTATTTTTGTTTTGCTTTTCCCTCCATTGTACCGAAATCGTACAGAACCGTGAAGTCTGAACCGAGGTACGAACCGAACCGTGACTTCTGTGTACCGTTCCACCCCTAGTTAAACTCATCCCGGTGTTCCACGCAGAAACCACTCCCATGTGCGTTGCCGTTGTTATACTGGTGATTGGATTAAACAAGATCTTTCACATAAATATGCAGAGAAGCGCTCAGAAAAGTATGACGTATAATTGTATTCACAAGCCCCGGCAGCCAATCACAAACTCCGGATACATGCAGATCTACCTTAGATTCCGCAACGTTGCTTTGATTTTGCCTTTCAACCCGGAAGGAGCACTGTATTGAGTGCTTTTAGTGTTTTCAGTGATGAACAGCCTGAGCCTGTAAATATCTGATCACATCTCAAAAAATTTGTTTTGGTCAGTGCAGAGAGACTCATGGTTCGCGCCGACATATAGCACAACTGCGGCTTCAGCGCCCCGAGTTCGATCCCCAGCTCCAGTTCCTTTGCCGATCCCATTGACGCTTTCCTGTCAATCTTTACTGTACTAGGCACAGTCACAAAAAGGCCAACAGTATAACTTGAAAAAAATGTGTTTTGGTGTTTCAGGACCCTTTAAGCACCTTGTATGAACCCTAGTTCATAATGTTTATTTTTCAAGCACCTATGTTTGTTTTCACATACTTTTCAGTGCTTGAATCCAAAATGGCAAAAAATGGCAAATTCAATAATTTTCAAGCGTGGAAACGTAAACTGTGGGGGAGTACATGCAAACTAACCACAGAGCCACCATGCCTCCCTTTAATAACCATTACGTTAGAAATAAATACATTTAATTGCAGAATCTAAACATATTTATGATTGTATGAGTTTGAATAAATATATTGTAAATAACAATAATAAAGAAAGGTACAGACCTCCACTTCTCCTCTGGTGAGAGCTGGGACAGATCAATCTGTTGAAATATGAGTGATTTCAGCAGTTAGTTGTAGCAACATTCAAGCAGAAGTGCACTTCATTACATTACAACCTTAAAGCTAGGGTATACGATTTCAAAGATTGTTCATTATTAATATCCTCGTTTAGATGCTGTTTATGGTTATATAGTATAATCCTAACAATATAAATAGAAAAAAGAACGAAAAAAATCCATTCACTCTATTGGCTGTACAGCCACATAAAAGTTGACCAATGGAAGCTTTGCGAGCGCAAAGCTACATTGGTCAACTGCTCTCATCCAATCACCAGCTACACTTGAAACTCCGCCTGGAGCTCGCGTCTCCACCCCGACCGCACCCGACCGCGCCCGACCGCGCCCCCCTTCTGCGTCATGAGAATCGCGCACGTTAGCAGGTGACCGCACATGGTAGCTAGCTAAGTAGCACATCAGACAGCAATGGATAACAACGAAAAATACATCAGCAAGCGTCCCCTGCTTGCCCCTACAAGAAAGTTAGGACGGAAGAGAAATTCATTGCAAGGAAAAAGCAGAGACGAAAAGAAAATGTGAAGAACGTTGAAAGTTGAGTAGGATACCATTGACCGATGGAGGAAACTTCAGCGAGATCTGGGACTGAAGACCGACGCTGACACGGCTGACTTTTTGTTGAGCAGGTAAACATTTATTTGTACTCTTATATGGTGTGACGTGTTACATAAATAGCTTTTTATCAGTCTGAAAACTTGCTAATGCTGCCGGTCGGCATTGGAATGTTAGCTGTTTAGCATCACCTGTATCACGGTTCAAAGTAAATATATTTCTTGAAGTGCTTGAATATATTGCAGTATGCCTAGCGGGTTTCTGTTCGAGAATCAGACATTGCACAGAGTACATCTCAGTTCCGATGATGACAACTTGATTGAGTGACGTTGTTCAATTCGTTTCCCTGTGGGAGGGATCAGGTAGCAGAGGGGAGGGGGGTGTGTGTGGAGAGGCGGGATGAGTTTTTCAAAACTTCCCTCCCGTTTCAGGCTCTCTCGACCGATTTTCAACATCGTATACTACAGCTTTAAGCTAACAAACATTCAATTACTTAATCCATATCACAAATCACATAAATCACAAACGTTGTGATTTATCACAAAGCTTCATCGTGGACCCACTCCTTATAATTTAGCATAATTTAGCAATGGATAATGTCATACTGCAAATTGTAAAATATACATTTTCAATATAACAGGCCGAGGAGAGATGATACATCTCATGGCTTTAACTGCCATGTGCTTTTAAAGAAATGCTTAAAGGGATACTCCACCGGGTTTTCATATTAAACTATGTTATTCCCTTAACTAAGACGAGCTGATGCATACCTCTCTTGTCTCAGTGCGTGCACTCTATCGCTCTGTATTGCCGCAAAACTATGTTAGCACTTAGCTTAGCCCAGTGCATTAAATATGGGCCAAAAAGAAAAGTGACAAATCACTTCCTCGTTTTCCCTATTTAAACACAGTTACTCGATTAGTGTAACTCGACCTAGGCTGGTGACACAAAATAAAACGTTGTGTTTTTCTAAGCGTTTAAAATTGATGACTATATTGTATGGCGGAATACCATAAAAAAGTGCTTTAGAGCACTTCAACTTGGCACAATAATACCTTCACTCGTGAAAAGTCCTCTTACCGGCTCCCGCTTCCTCGCTCTCCCCCTCCCTCTTATTTCCGTCAATGCAGCCATCGTGACATGCGACAAAGCGGGAGCCGGTAAGAGGACTTTTCACGAGTGAAGGTATTATTGCGCCAAGTTGAAGTGCTCTAAAGCACTTTTTTATGGTATTCCGCCATACAATATAGTCATCAATTTTAAATGCTTAGAAAAACACAACGTTTTATTTTGTGTCACCAGCCTAGGTCGAGTTACACTAATCGAGTAACTGTGTTTAAATAGGGAAAACGAGGAAGTGTTTTGTCGCTTCTCTTTTTGGCCCATATTTAATGCACTGGGCTAAGCTAATGCTAACATAGTTTTGCGGCAATACAGAGCGATAGAGTGCATGCACTGAGACGAGAGAGGTATGCATCAGCTCGTCTTAATTAAGGGAATAACATAGTTTAATATTAAAACCCGGTGGAGTATCCCTTTAAAGGGCACCAATTATAATGCAGCAACAAATTATTTCACAGTGTACAAAGATAATTTAAATCTCATTTCCCAGTGATGAAGGTGTTGCTGCTACTGGTCCCTGATGTGGGTCTGGAATACCCCTTTTCCACTAAAAAAAGAACTGGTTCGGAACTGGTGCTGGTTCAAAGTTGGTTCGGAGTTGGCTCAACTTGCGAACCGCTTCAGAACCTATTTGTTTTTCCACTAACTAGAGCGCCCAGGGAACAACGTCGTTACGTCACTGTGTACGTCGCCTTACGTCTTACCTAGAAAGACTTGCAAGTACAACATTACTTTGGGATTATTATCTCACTCCCATATGGACCCTATTGAAAACAAGATGGCCTATCTCAAGGGGCTGTCCTTAATGAAGTAGAAATTGCAACGTTACAACTCAGTGTGGTCTTAACGAGGGTAACACGGCTCAGCTTTTATCAATGTCTGTGATTGCTGGCTGGTCTATTTATGAAGGCTAGTTTAACAAGTATCCTACAAACACAGAAAATGGAGAAAAAAAGGAAAAAACAAGTTTTGTGCAGCTGCTTAGGGGAACTCCTAAGCCACTAAAAGTCCTCTTCCCTGCTCTTAGCAGATCTCGCCTTAGGAGCCCTTTTAAGCGCTAGGAATCTTGAACCGATTTTATATTAACTGGGATTTTCGTGTCACTTTTAGGGGAAATTATAAGAAAACGTCATGACTCTGAGAATTTTCTTAGAATTTGGCCACTAGGAGCCACTTTTTGCGCAAAAATTCTTTAGGGATACGGGCCCTGGACTACTCTTCATTAAAGCTCAGGGTGACGGGTTGCCAGATATCACAAAAAAAATGTAAATGGTAAAAAAAAAGGTAAAAATATATATTATAATTGTAATATAAATATATATTATAATTATATTATAAACTGATTGATGAACTAAAGCAATGCATGAGATTGAAAAAATATCCAGCAACACTTTATTTAAAGTTTAAATGCACCTATGAGTTGTATTTAATAATTAATATCAATCTGTTGTGGGAAGTTCATCTAAAAGTTGATGAGTGTGTTTTGTTTACTATATTTTGCTATCAAAATAGTTAACCAAAGAAACAATTTACCACATAAAATAAAATAAAAATCAAACAAGGTGACATACTTTTCATTTCTAAAGTATTTGTGTTTGTTTATTATACAAAGCCCTTTTTGTCAAATTTTTGTGGATAACTACATATAAATAACTATATCGCAAAATATATTGTTACCGTGAAATAAAATTAGTCATACCGTGAAACACAATTTTGGTTATACCGCCCACCCCTATTACCAGCTGTCGTTGAAACAATGGAGGATGGTGTACAGATCACCGAGGGCGGGGTCAATGCCACAACCAAACACCATGTAAAAGTGAATTTTGCATGATAGTGCCCTTTAACTTTAGTTACATTGTCAAAAGTTAAAAGGACAGTCAGTCAACTACTAACGTAACATAACAACGTAACATAATTATTACTAGCTGATTCCGCTTCACTCTCGGCTTATTTAACAGCAGCAAAACTGGACATGATAGTCACAAATTTTGTCATGCTTATTTAAGTTAAGAGAACTGACTGGGAACTGATCTCACTCGCGGATAACTGGTTCTCTCTGCCCGACTCTGGCTGGATCATCAGTTTGCAGGTTGTGTGGCACGTTATAAATGAGTGTTGCCAACAGGGACGGTGTAGAGTGCCCTCTGGTAGACAATCTATACAACTCCAACATTCATGACATGGTTCAAGTGTGTTTCGTCCGTTTTTATTTTATTTTTGAAATATTCATTTATCGGCCATTATAACTGCCACCGATACCGATAGTTTGGAAAATGCCTAATATCATCCGATAATATCGGCCTGCCGATTAATCGGTCTGGCTCCACAGTATGTCAATTTTCTTAAGGAAAACAATCTGTCAAGTCTCAAATAATGCAATACGGATAAAGAACCCTGTCAGTTAGCATATTACTATATAATTAAAGGTTGACATTAACAACAGTCTAAATTCAATTACTACTTATTAGGAATGCACAATAGATCAGCCACCATATTGGTATCGGCTGATATGAGTTTATTTGTAATTGTAATTTTATTGTTATTGGCCAGATATGATATTTAGGCTGCTATATTAAAGCTGATAAATAATGCATTATTTCCTTCAGCTGAGACTTCAGATGTGCACTTGTAACGGCCTTTAGAGCAGTTACTCTGGTCTTGAGGAGTAGTACTACTACTAAGCTCTAGGGGGCTCTCCAGACTTCTCTTCCTCTGGATAAAAAACAGAGAGAAGAAGAATTGGGATATGTTTGGTTGGAGAGAAGCATGGCCTCCTTCTGCTAACCTTATGTTTAGAGTCCGGGTTGAGAAACTGTTGTTTTGAGCTCATCCAAAAGGACTCCTCGGACATACCGAGTCCACAGAGTTATCTTTCTTGTGCTACGGGATTGAGACATCTTCCTTTCTATGCTGTACTGTGTCTTATGGAGTTACTATTTGGTTATGCCAATATCCTCTTTGAACATATTGGATCAACAGAGATCTGGGACGTTTGAGTGCTGCAAGGACACCATTATTGCAACATACCCAAAGCATGAAACATGGATTTAAGGAAACATAGGGTTTGAATTGAACTACTGGACCTTTTACTCTTATCTGGGACCAAACCAGAAAACAGACATGTATACCTTCATTTGTAGACTCATGACTCACTAATTGTATGATGTGGTGTGACTTATCTGATTTAAATATGTTTGCATTTACCTTGGTGTTTGGACTTGGTTTGAGTGTTCTGAGTCTGGTTAAAATTAATTTTAGTCTATGAAGTCCTCCCTTATAAATTTGTAATG